GGGGGGGGGGGGGGGGGGGCTCGGTAAGGAGTTGGATGAGAAAAATCGGCCAGACTTCGGCGAGAGAAGTCGAACAATCGGAACCCTGTAGCCCACAGACAATAAACTCCGTCGATTCCCATGCCCGCAGACGGCCAGTACAAAACCTGGTACAAGGGACGTGGGATGGGTGCACTGGACTATTCGTCGTCCCTTCCTTGCCCTGTCAGTGCCGGTAGATTCTTATCTCACAAAACCAAGGAGAAGGATACACGGAAAAAATAGAGGGTCGTCACAACCGCACGACATTGCGTGGCACAGCACAGCACAGCCGAGCCTTCGGCCACGACACGCCATCTCTTACCTGGTCCACACCGTCTGGTCGATGCTGTCCCCATTGTCCTTCTCGGTCCTCCACAGCCCGTCCGTCTCTGTATAGTCCGTGAACACCCCCTCCTTCGTAAGGACCTCTTCCGTCAGCACCGTAAGCTGGGCCCCCGAAAACACTGTTGTAGCAGCCAGCACGCAAAAATCAAGAGGGGACGCCGACAACGGACAGCGGTAAGCGCACAAGCACGCAGAGCAGCAGGGCCGAGCGCGCGGCGCTCAGGGACGGGCGAGGGTCCCCGTGGAATAGTTTCGACGCACCGCCTAGTCCCTCTCTTAGGACCGTAGCTTGGCTCCCGGCCCGGGACAGCACACGGCATAAACGCTTCGTTCGTTTCATTTTTCCAACTACAATATGCATCGCGGGCCGTTCCAGAGAAGAGCACGAACTTTCTTTTAATTGAGCCCCCTGAATTTCGCACCGCACCGATCGGAGTGTCGGGCAAGTGTTTCGCTTCTTCGTCCCTCTGTTGCACTGCAGCACTTCAGCACTTCTCGGTCCCTATGTCGCGCTGCAGCAGTACGTACAGAACACAATCAGCATCTCTGTCGGCGTGCCATCACCAGACAACCCCCCGAGATTTTTCGGAGAGGAGGATTCTTTCCTCTCCGCTTTCTTTCACTCAGCCGTGCACGCTGCTTATCAAGCCAAGAAGAGGCGACCAGAGTCCAACACCCCGAGCTGCTGGCCAACCTCCAAACGACATTCTGGCCGGCCTTGTTGGCCCGGCGATTGCAACGAGACAGATCGGAGGAACACGCCTCCTTTCCATTTCTCGCGGACCCCGTTCGTTGTTTTCCTCTCGGGAGCGAAGTCGTCGCAGCAGCCAAACCAGGAGACCAAGAGCGCAAGCTCTCTACAAGAATTAGCGGCTGCCGTCTTCCTCCCTGCGTCTCGTGCTTGGATGATGTTTTAAGCCCCGACACATGCTGGTGGCTGGTGGTGGTGCGCGCTGTGCCACTGCTTGCGGTGTTGGCCTCGTTGTTCTGAATTCTTCTCACCCGAGCCTAAATTGATCGCCCGCGGCCGGGAATCCCAGAGAACCTTCTGGTGATCCCACGGGGTCCCCTGATGGGGGGCCCGCGGAGGGGACTGGGAAGAATGGTCCAGCCTTGTCACCACGTCAAAACAGCTGCCGTACCAACACAACCTGCTGTGCATCATTCGTACCACACGGAGTACCTGCTGCTGATACACGCACAAGTATCTTCGAGCCCACAGCAGCAAAGCACCACACGCGTTCTGTGTCGCACGCAAAACTCTTGTACTGCTGTAGCACGGCTGTTGCGAAACGGTTCGAAGCCACCCGCCCAATCCGCGGAGTGGACATCCTCTTTCGCATCGGCCAGCCGGCAGGGGTAGCCTACGGAAACATCGCACGGAACGATCGACGCTAATAGCCAAAGAAGAAAGAGCGTGATGGCACAAAAAACAAAGCTTCAACAGTACACGGAAAGACACGGCGTGCACTCGTATACACACTCACCGAACGCCTCTGCCACGGCGGAGTTGAGCGAGTCATCTGCCCGGACGACCCCTACGCCACCGCCACCCAACAAAGCCAGAGCGCAGCAGCTCCAGGCCAAGCAGAGCCGCGCACCCATCCTCCCTCTTCCTCCTGCTCCTCTTGCTGCTGCCCTAGCACCTACTCCCGCTCGCGCCCCCGCCGTTGTGACGGTTGCTGTGGCCGCCGCCCCAAACACCCCCGAAGACATCGTTCCCGACTGCGGTCGCGATCCGTGGCGGTCTTGTCTCATCCTGGCTTCTCAATGGCAGGGGCGGGAGGAGGTAGGGTTGGAGAGAAGCGATAGGCGTTTAGTTCGAGCTTGTGACACGCGTTTAGCTCGAGGAAGCATGCGGCATGACAAGTAAATGAGGCCACGGTAAGGGGCCCTCTTTCGCTGCGCAAGCACGTACGCAGACAATAGGAAGCAGTCTTGGCACACCGCTAAAGGAAGCAGCAAACGCCTGGTCTTTTTTTGGGACGTGTTGCCGTGCGAGGTCAATCAAGTCCGTGAACAGGATCCTCGTCCGTGCGTCTTGGCCAGTGGGATGTCCGGTTTAACATCCGCGGAATGCGCAGCAGCAGCAGCAGCCTACAGACGAAGCGCTGGTGCAACTTGAGTCTTCGTAAGAGAGACGCAGCCGCAACTACAAGACATGGTTACCATTTCTCATGGCTTGCCGGCATTCACTTCATAGCTGTTGCCGCCGCGCCGATACTGCCCCCAACCAGCAGGACACAAACGTACCCTGTTATCCTAAGTAATTCCGTTCTGGTCACACAAAAGCGGTTGTGAGCATTCATAAAGAAACCTACATGTAGACTATGCCTCCAGAAACAGAGTGGATATGACGGTTGGTCCTCCTGTCCATTCTATTAACAGTAGGGGGCCCGATATTAGGCCGCATAGTGCCACGAGATCAAACCGGCCTTTTTAGAGGGCACCCGGCCTTACGTAGAATCGGCTCTGTATAAGGACGGCCGCCGTTAATCAGGATTTCTATTTCCTAATAAGGCCGTACCGTGCGCTTACATACTGTGGACTTAAGTAGCAGCCGATGCAGTTTGAAAAATCGGTGCTTCCCTTCGTATGTCGCGTTCATTTCATGCTTCCCATCCAACCTTTCTTCGGCTCTCAGGTACAAAATGTCCAACCTATGGAAATAATAATTCCGGATGACAAAACATGAATACTGAAATAAAGCGAGACCATGGTGGAAAATAGACATCAGGCAGATGCCCCCGTTTCGCAGAACAAGAAAGGAAGCAAGTCCGTACGCCTGTATGTATAATCAAAGAGACGGGGACACCTGAGGTAGGGACAAAGGGATAACAGGTCCAGCGAGAAACGCATTCAATGGCTCAAGCCGGCACGCAGTAGTTCGTACCTCCGCCCAAAAATACGCCGCCACTCCAAAATCGGTATGCGAACGAGGCCATCTAGTTGGACTGCCATATACTGGGTACTAGTAGTTAGTTGTTTCGCAGACCCAAGGTGACAACGTTGAACAACGCACCAGCACACAGGAGCACTACGCACTCATTCCTGCGATAGGTACTTGCGAGAACGACCGCAACGGCACATATACAGCGGTCGCCCCGGTGGTCTAGTGGGTAGCCTCGCAGCCTGCTAAGGGTCAGGTCGTGGGTTCGAGTCCCGACAGAGCGATTTCTTTCTCGCAAACTAAATCCTGGTCTCCGTTGGAAGCGACGCGCTGCAAAGCCCGTTGTTAGTGAACTCGATAGACTTCACAAGTCGCGAGGGAAGGGATTGCTGTACCCTTCTCGCGATAAAAATATCTTAGGCAGGAATCGCAGGAGGGGGTCCAACCCCCCCCACCTCCTATGTGACCCCGGTTGGGACGTCTAGCTGGTAGAAGTGGAGGATAGGGGCCAGAGGGGCAGACGACAGAATCTAATGATGGGAGACCGAAAAATAAAAAAAAGTAACGGCAGAGACCCCCAATTCAGACAAAACCTCCTCAAACAGACGAGACCACCACCGACACGGAAAACGCTGCACACAACTAGGCAAGTGTCGGTGGAGGTCCTGCTGTAGTGCCTTCGCTGGTTGGGGTACGTGCTGCTAGCTCCGCGAGGCTGTGCACTAAATAGCTGTGCACTAGAGAAGGTGTATTACGCGGCGAAACCAGCGTCACTTTTGCGGAGACCGGCCTTGGGCAGGCGGGGGCCATAACCGGCCTCTATAACAGGGGGTGCCCGACCACCTAAGGCCACCACCTCCACCGGCTTTGTGTCGCACAGGCGGCCTTATTCACGCGGCCATGTATATCATAGGGCCCTCTACTGACTCCTTTGGTCCCAACTACCTCCCCACCCCCAACCCCCTGCATGCAGGAGTGATCGGTGTGCAGGCGACCCCCTGGTGCGCAGCCACGCAACCAACAACAACCGTAGCAGCGGTTGGAGGGTGGATAGTAGAAAAAAATCATATGAACCCGTAGGTACGCATATAACTTGGCAGTCCCGCCAATACAGACCTTGCACTATCACCGAAACCACCCAAGAGCGACCTAGACCTACTCCAAGGCCCACCAGCCTAGCCCTAGCCACGTCGGGACCAACCTAGCACCTATCCAGGCAATACCAACCTTGGTTTATCCCATCAACGCCAATCCAGCACCTATCCAAGCAGTAACAACCTACATGAGAGTTTCCCCCGTCAACACCTAACCTAACCTAGCCCTCATGCAGGCACAGCAACCTAGAACTGAGCCACCCAGCGCCAACGTAGCGCCTATCGGGTGGTTTCGGGGTTGGGGTTAGGGTTAGGGTTAGGGTTTTTAGCCAGCGTTAGGGTTTTTAGCCGGTTTCGTGCCTCTGCCAAGGCAGAGCATTTAGAGTTTAGAAGCACACAAGTGGCATTGGTTGAAATTCGAGTATTAATAATACTCGCTGGTTGAAGGGTCACGTATAAAATATGCAGCAGGGTAATTCAGGGGTTGGAGCCTCGGAACGTTTTCCCCTTTTTTTCGCCTGCAGGTGGTGCTTTCGGGCTGTCGAGGTCATGGGTGCATGGCATATGTGCGTACCCATGGGAGTATATAACTTTTGCCTGCATGATAGGTCACGACCTGTGCGGACCATCCTGCTCCCGCTTACAGTACACGTGAAAAGCTCCCCCCCAGCAGCAGGTTACCGCAACGGAGGTGGCAAGGTGATTTGTTTGAAGAACCCACGAATTCCACCGAGAGCTAGCTTTGCTCCCATGGCAACACCGCTCCTATTTGGACACGTGCGGAAGGGAGGGATCAATCACCACGTGTGCTCTAAGAGAGGTGGCTGTGTCATGTACATACATGCGGGCACAAACGACGTGTGGGAAAGTTTGTGTTTCAGGCGGTATTGTTGCCTTCAGATCCTCACAAACAAAGACTGATAAATGTTTTTGGTACTCGGTGCCAGCTCTTGAGGGCGTCTTGTTTGCAATCTACAGCTCTCCCTCTTGCAAGGAAGGAGCAAGTGTCGACGGATTCGCCTCTGCAAAGCTTCCCGCAAGGCCCTACAGAGGTTGTTTCTAAACATTTCGGAGAATGGCCCCTCCACGAGGGAAACGCCGAGCCGTGCGATAACCGGGGGTGGTATGTTACGCGACATTGCGCCCTATGCATACAAAGAATAAGAAGGGTGATTGCTCTCTCTCTCTAGAATATGGAAGCTGCTGCCTGTACCAGTGTACTTGTTCCAATCCATACCACGCCATGCAATACTTGCTTCGACGATACATGTCCAAATTTGAAAAGTACAAGCGTGGTCATCGCACCGATACACCCTAATCTGACGAAAATTATACCCTCTGTCGCAAAGTGTCCCGTGCTTCGCACACACGCACGATTCCTCTCAAGCAAGACTGCATCTCGGACTGCCACCGCCGTGTGCATGTCTTTTCGTTTTCCTCCTCCTCGTTGTCATTCTGAAGACTGTGCTTTTCTTCCGCAGCCGGAGCCAAACGCTGCGCCATTTTCTTCATCGACACACCTGACCCCATCACACACGTTCGTGTGCCGAGCCAAGGGACCACCGACGCGCGTACCCTCAAAGCAGCTCTTTCCGGCACCCCGTGCATAATACTTCACTTCCGACACAGCAACAGATGGGCAGATCCATGATGCTGAGAAGACAACTACTCTATTGATATGGGTAAGTCATGTGGCACAGCAGCAGCAACCACTGCGTGTGCGGCAGCAGCGGGTTTCTTGGATCAACACCAAACGACCGCGCTGGCGTGGGGGCTCACGGCAAGGCCGCTGGGTGTGCGTAGCAGTGCATATGTTACACACACAGCAGTCAGTGTGGCCTTGGTCTTGAAGGGATTTTTTGCGGAAAAAATGGTTGTTCGTCACGTAGCGTGCACTACCTGTGCTTTGCACCGAAAAAGCAGCGAGGCAGGAACCAAACAGCCAAGCAGGGGGATAATTTGCTGGGTCGTGTTGAGGTGTTTGATTTTGGTACTTCGATGAAACAAACGACTGAATGAGTACAGAGAGTGAGAGTGAGAGCGAGAGCGAGAGCGAGAGATAGAGAGAGAGAGAGAGAGATGGTGTGTGTGTACTAGAGAGAGAACAAAGAAGAACTAGAAGAGCAAGACACGCAACAACGCGCGCTTCGATACATACTACATACCGGATGCGGCTGCTGTGTCCTCGGTTGATATGGAGAAAACAACAGGGATGTTGTTTTGCTCGCATTTTTCTTGTTCGAAGGGTTGGATAGAACACAAGAACCCATACAACATCTCACCTGCCAAATACGGATCACCCCGGTGCCCCGAAAGAGAGAGGGAGAGAGAGAGATGGAGGCCGGGGGGATGGTGGACACCGTAGTAACTGCTGTGCTGTGAACAGCTCAGCTCGTCTGTGTCTCTCGCGCCGCCTGCTGTGTCCACTGCAAACAGCAGTAACAGCAACCAACAGACGGTCGATTCTTATTCTTCTTTTGTTCTCGATTGCCCCAATCGCGTCACCCCCACCTCCCTCATTTATCTCCCGGTCCTTTTGTGCCCTCCGCTCGCGCACACTCCCCTTTGCCAGCGCCGTGGACGGCGGTGGGATCATGGCCCGTGGACGAAGAACTGCTGGGATGAAAGGCTTGGGGAGGGTGGCTGTGCTCCTGTCGACGGCGATCTATGCAGCAGCACAAGGTTTGTGTGGGCCCATTGTTGGTGGATATCGGCGTCTAGGTCGGACAGAGAGGAAAGGCACATCCGGTGCAATTCGTTTGTTTCCCTTCTGTGCATAATGGAATCACACCCCTTTTCATGCACTGCTGCCGTGTGCTCTTGTCTTGTTTTGTGACGGGCTCGTTGCTGCGAGGGCGCGTCGTGTCGATTGCGGTCGGGAGTGCACGCACTCGTCCCCAAAGCGGCGTCGTTGGTGTTGCGGCGTAGTGATGATGAAATACTCGTAGCTATTTTTTATTTTTTGATGTCAACCCCGCGATGTGCAGGACACAGCATCACGTTCGAACTATCACTGCTATACATGCGAAGGGCAAACCGAAATTTAGAGGACGAGTTGGCTCCACAGGCGAGCATCTCCCACAGCGGGCCTCAGTATGCCCGCCCATGTTTCGTGCCATCCAGCCTCCCGCCCGACCCCTGCAGCAGTGAACACTTGTTCATCCCCGTCTCTTCGCATTCAAAAATATGTGCCGCGTCTTCTGTCCCTCTGAGTGGTGTTATGTACATCCGTAGCATCATAAAGAGTGAATTCTTCATTTTCCCGTTTTGTGGCCGACAACACCTCTCGAACAAGAAGCACCCACACCGCGTACCGGCACGTGTTTGCGGGTTTCCGTGCGGGGGCGGCAAATGACTAGCGACGGTGGTGGGTGTGTCGGCATTGTAGGTACTTTTTGAACGGCAGGGGACACGATTTGTTTGTGTGCTATGTAACTAAACGGTGAGGTTCCTGACCAGCTGTCCCGGTCCCCCCGGCGAACAATTAACTTCCCGACAGGCAGCGAGCGGGGCGTCCGAACATGAGTATTTTTTTTTGTCTTCTTGTACGCATGAAAATCAACCATTATTCTTAGGTATGCTCCACGCACAACCGCGCCGCTTGGCGCCGAGCCCTTTCCCATGGTTTGGTTTTTTTCAGAACACAACAACGCGCTCGCGCTGTGGCTGCTTCTCGCTGAACTACAGCGCCCGGACACAAACACAGCAGCAACAATTAGTTTCTTCCCCTCTTGGGACGGAATATCGTGTTTGCCCTCCCTACTTGTACAGCTGTCTTCAGTAGACAAGCGCTCGACGTATTCCATTACTCTCTCGCTGTGTGTTTCAAGCATAGCTTAGTCGCGTTTTGTTGAGTGGGAATGTGTACTTCTTTGCGGAGGAAATGCCAAACACCTGTAGTTGCTTCATTTAGTACGCACCCACCGGTGGGGCTCTCCCCTTGAAGCGGAGAACAACGGAAACGCGGAAATGACCCAAATGGTTGAGGACCGAAACACGGGCAGGTTTTGGTTGCATCCTTTTTTGTATACGTACGTTGGAGTTTTTCTTTGGGAGTTGTTGACTGCTGTCTGAAAAGATGGCGCTGTGTAACCAAGGGCGCCGTGGGTAAAGCGGCAGATTTTTTCAGGCGTATTATGCATGCATACGCTGGTCAGTTGCGACCACCATGTCACCACTGCTTGTTTTTTCTGTTCCAGCGGCGGCAACGAAGAGCGAATGATCGGAGGCAAGTAATCAACAAACCACGTCCACAGTCACGAGCGATCCCGTTGACTACATCGTTTCGACCCCTGACAGGCTGGATAGCCCCTTGACAGACAGGCTTTGAGAGGGTTGTGCGTGGACGATACTGCTATAATCGTTACGGCTGTCGCATGCAACAGACAGCAAGCCAGACTGGGTTGGTACTTTTTGCTTGAGGACGAGGTCTGTCTGTCAGCAGTTTGTCACCGCTGCTGGCTAGCTCTTGCTTGCTTTTCCTTCTTTTTGATAATTCAAAAATATGAAAAATGCACGAGGTCTTGGTGAACTTGTTGGTAATAGTCGTTTCTGTTTGCCCGTGTCTCACTGCCACTGCTGTCCCCTGTTTCTGCTGCTGCTTCTGTCTCTCTGTCTTTCTCTCCCGCCCTTCGCTCTGCGCTGCATCATGCGACGGCGCTACTGTACGCGTAGAGACGTGCACCAGCGTTACGGTAACCGGCGGTGACCTCCCCGGCGTTTACGAGCTAGGGGAGAGCTCGTCAGAAGTATACGTTGGGACGGACGATTCAACCCACGTCCTGCAGCCGGTTGTATTCGGTGAGGATTCTTATTCTTCGGCATGTAGAACATTCGAAGTATATAAATACGTTGCACAAGCAAAGCTACCCGCCGTTCGAGAGAAGGCACCAATCGAAGGAATGGGTTTGAAGAAGTATCTACAACAGAGTATTATTCACAAGCGTGCGTTTTCCAGCCAGAGGGATTTACAATGTACTGCGGAATAGTCGTCGGCGATGTAGAGTTTGGGTTGAAATGAGGCCTCCTGCTACG